ATGACACGGGAGATAAGACGCTGTCGCCCATCTGGCCCGACAGGACGTGCCATGTTCTGCCTGCATCTCGGGGGCCGTTATCACCCTCCGTGACAGCCAGGGTCACTCTGGTGTTCGTCCTTGGACAGCAGCTTAATTTGGCAACTCCAGCTGATCTCTGAAATGAAATCTGCTATCAGTTCAGTGGGGGACCTGCCAAAAAGAACTCAAAAGCCCTAAACAGGGAATCAAAAGACAGCAGTTGCTGACAACATCTCACTGCAGTTGGGCTTGTAGGGCTCTTGGCTGAATACAAGCCCTGAAGCAACACTCTCTGGCTTTCTCAGGCCCTGGGGGGGTGGAGACTGCATCCGGATAGTTAATGGTACCAGTTGTTTTTTGTGACGACCTTGGTGAGGTTTGAGTCAGGGATGGCAAACTCTCACCCATCAGTAGTGGTTCCCTAGGATCTGTGTTGAGAAGGATTCTGAGGTCTTGTGTAGCTGGGCCTGGAAAGAAGGAATGTCTTGATCAGTAAGTCTGTCTACTAAAAAAAAGTTGATTTTTGTGCCCTTTTTGTCAATTCTTCTAAAAAAAAAAAAGGCTTAAATCAACGTTTTTTCATCCTCCAAAAATATAGGCACTCTATGTGAATTTGAATTCAGCTTCTTTCTTATTCCAATAAGGCTTGGAAAAATTGATTAACAACTTCAGTGGAAAAAGGGATCTTGTACTTTTACAGCTGGAAAGGCCTTCGTGCGCCCTACCCACTGGCCCCTCTTACAGAGGAGGAGCTCAGGGTGAGAGAAGGGCAGGGCCTTGCAGAAGGGAAAGGAGAGTGCAGCTGCGCAGACCCCATCTCCGCGCCCTGCCCGCCTCTGTGCCGGGCTTGGCAGCTGTCCTGAAGCTCATGGTGAGGCCCCGGAATGGCACTGGGTATTGGAAAGGGCCCGACTCCCTGCGTGTAAGGTCTTCGAGGCGAGTCACTGCTGCTTATGGGAGACTTGAGCCGAGACAGGAGCTGGCGAAGAGAAGCTGAGCTGTCTTCCCTGGCCCTCATCTCTGCTCTGGCTGCCCCTCTGGGAGCTCAGGGGGGGTTAGAGGAGCCTTCTGTAAGCTCCTCCTTGGGGTCTAGAACCAGACTGGCTTCACGGGCGTGTGACCCGTGTGCTCGGAAGGGCTCCGCACTTGGTTCAACGCTCTGCTGTCGCCAGCTTGAAATTCTTAATTCCTTGGGCCCCGCCTCTTCACTCAGCGTTGATTTGCATTCCATTTTGCCTGCAGATTATGTCGCTGGTCCTGACTTGGATGGTTGGACTCTGGGATTCCAAGAAGATAGGACAGTTGTCCCACAGTCAGTGCCTGTGTGTTTGGGAGGCCAGGGGCCAGAGGGAGGGAGTTGCTGTATGTTGAGCACTTTTATGTGCCAGACTCTGTGCTGGGGGCTGGAAAGGCCACAGTGGCTGAGACTCTAGTAGAAGATGCCACCTTAGCAGAAAAAGGACACTCAGAGGTCGGGGCCCAGCGCTGCCAGGAGGTGCAGGGTGGGCATGATGACCCCCACCCGGGTGGAGGGGCTTCCTTGTTTGGGTGGCTCCCCAGGATGATTATGGGGTGCACTGGGAGGGGATCTGAGTGGGACTGGGTAGGTGGGCATTCAGGGGCAGGAGCATGGGGGGACTGGCTTAGTGAGGTTAGGGCAGGGAGAGGACAAACCTGGGAGGGGACAGAGACATTCTAAAGGCTGTGGACAGCCTGGGAGGGCTTCAGGCATGGCCAGGACCTGATCAGAACTGGAGTTGGGACGTCTGGTGTCTGTAGGGGATGCCTGTGCGGGGAGAAAGGGGAGGCAGGCAGAGTGGGATGTGCAGAGTCCTGCCCAGAGAGGTTGCCGGCCTGGACCAGCAGAGGTGGCCAGGACGGAGAGGTCGGATTCCGGAAGGAGGAGGGAGGTGACTCAGCGTGAAGAGGCAATGAAGGGGCATGGGAGTGAGAAGAACCGGAAGAGTCAAGGACAATCGCCGCTTCTGGTGCCAGCGCCTGGTGGGCTGCTGGTGTCACTACCCCGGCTGGGGACATTCGAGGGAGGAGGAGGGTTAGGAGGGAAGAGGAGGAGTTCAGCTGGGGCTAGGAGGTGTCTGTGGGTGCCCGTGTGTCAGAGCTTCGGTCGTGAGTCACTGAGCGGTTTCCCTGTTGGGGCCTGACCTCCTGGTGGCTGGGGCTGGGCCAGGAGCAGGCTGGAGGCTGGGAGGGAGCGGAGGCACCATTCTCAAAAGAGCTGTTGAGTCATTTGTTTGGTGCCTTGGCTGATGGGAGCATGCCCGGCAGGAAGGGTGTGGCCCTGGTGGTCTGGGGCCAACAGAGGGAAGGGTGGAGGGAGCGGGAGCCGTGGTCCCCAGGCAGGAAGAGGCTGCGGAGCCGAGGGGAGCCCCAGGGCTGTTCTCAGGGGTGGGGGAGTGGGTGCAGCATGGGGGCATCCTCATCTGTGGAGTGTGATTGTCACAATGCCCCACCCTGCAGAGCTGGCCTTGTTCTGGGGCCGCAGAGCCAAGGCAGTGCCCCCGACCCGCTCCTGCAGGGGTCCACAGACCGAGAGCTTGCCTGTACTTTGATAGCCCACCCTTAAAGTAACAGTACCACAAATGTGTCACCTTTCCTCAGTTGGCATTAAATTAAATAAAATCTTCATAGGGTGTGCAGAGGAAGGAGCGCAGCCAGTGTAATTTCTTTAGAACGTCAAATTTTAGACTTGTAGTTTGAGTTTGTAAGTGGCCTATTTACTGCTTATGAATACAAATAAATGTAGGTTTCCAAAGTGTGAAAATGGCTCTTTTAAGGAGCTTAAAAGCCCTCAATAGTTTGCATTATTTATTTTGAGTCATTCCTTTATAAAATAAATGATTTCAGCCACTTTACACAAATAACAATTTGAACAACCGAGGCACCCTTCCGTGAGCCCACTTCGCCTGTCCCCTGGGTTCTGTCTGAGCTCTCCTTGTCATTCCTGTTCACCTGAGGATTGGCCTGGCTCCTGGCTCACCCAGGGTCATCGCTCCTGGTGACTCTTTTCCTCCTGTTTCCATCTTGCCGGGGGGAGGAGGCAGCGTGGGTTTCAGTTCCCGGTCCGCTCCCGACGCCCCGCTTGGTTATATCCGGTTGGGACACCCGGCTCTCCCTCTGCTGTTTATTGAGTGCGCACCATGGGTGGCCTGGCTAGATGTTGGGCTGCTGGGGTGAACGCGGCAGGTGCTGCCCTGTCCTCTTGGAACTCACAGATCTGTCTCCCTGGTGGTCTTCAAGTCCTCGGTGATACATGTCACGAGGAGGAGTGTAGGGGCTTCCAGGTGTCTGCTCGGGGAGTCTGTTAGAAAGTGGACATGGAGGTGGCTAAGGATTCGGCACCTGGGCTCATGTCTGGCTCCACCACCTACTACCTATGTGACCTTGAACAAGTGATCTCACCTTTCCAAGCCTCAGTTTCCTTCTCTGTAAAGTGGGATGATGACATCTGACTCAAAGGGTTGTTGTGAGGGTTACCTGAGGTCATGTATGTAAAGCACAGGACAGGGCACGCAGGACCAGGCACCCAGGACAGGGCATGTAGGACCATGTACCCAGGACCATACACACCGGACAGGACACCCGGAACTGGGCAGCCAGCGTGGGTGAGCTGCTGTTGTTTTTGTGGCTGTTGATTAGTGATGCCCAAGCCAAGACGTGGAGGCTGAGGGATTGCCGGCCTGGCGAGGGGAGAGGGCTGCAGGCCAGGAGGCGGTGCTGTGGGAGCTGAGGGAGGCCCAGCTGGTCAGAGCAGAGCCGGTGAGGGCTGGGGGGGAAGTGAGGGGTGAGGCAGAGGCTCAGCCCCAACAGGGATTTGGGGCAAAACGTGGAATTCTTTCAGTGTGTTGTGTGTGGGGTCCCCCCGGCAGCTGTCCTCCAGGCCAGGAAGCCAACCTCATAGGTGGGGTTGGAGGAGATGGAAATCAGCAGGACGTTTCTGACACAGAATCCCAAGCATGCTGGATTTCTGCAGTCTGGGAGCTTCCTGCAGGTGTTCATACCCTGGGGAAGAAATGCCTCCTCTGGCACAAAGGCGGTGAAACCTCAAACCCTGGCTTTGACCTCAGGCCGGGTTTCAGGCTCTTGGTGCCGAGTCAGGTAATTCCAGCCCAGCCTCCCTCAGCCCTGCCAGCTCCCCTGTGGACAGCAGTGTGTACAGCTGGAGAGAGGCTGGGAGGGCCAACCAGCCTCAAAACGGCTCCCAGGGTTTGGTCTGTGGACAGCATTGCTAGCCTTGCTTTTTGCCAAAGTGGGGCATCAAAACCTGTTCTGAGCTCCAAGCCTTGTGCCTTTTGGCTTCTGAGGATGTTTGCAGGTGGCTTCCCTCCCCCAGGGGCCTCCCTGCACTGGACGCGTTTCCTGGACTGTCCAGCAGGGGGCACCAACCCATTGAATGAGGGATGTGGCTTGGCTGCAGAAATCCTTCAGCTGCGAAAAGGGTCCCAGCAGGTCCCCAGGGCAGCTTCCTTGATTACCCATCAGGCTTTTCACCTGACTTTTTCTAGCCTCAGGTTTTTTGGGCAAATTCCAGGGAGTTTGCAAAGTTGTGTTGTAGTTCTCAACTCAGAGTTTTATTGCCTGGAAAGAAAATTATTAGAAATGATCGTATAAAGGTCCCCTCCCCAAAACAAAAATCAAACAAGACAAGTCACAGAGAGTGTCCTGAACACCTGAGCTGCCCCCATCAGAGAGACCCCAGGATCTGCGGGAGCCTAGCAAGGGAGGACTTCACGGCCTGGCCCGGGGGCTGCTGCCTTGCAGGGTGCGCCCCCACTGTGTGTAAACAGAGGCCCAGGGGACCAGATGCGGAGCCCTGGGAAGCAGGGTGCTGGGTCTTTAGATAGCCTGTTCCGGGGGGGGGGGGGGGGGGGGGGGGGGGGGGACAGGGGTGAGGGGGCCTGATGAATGTGCCATTAATGAGCCAAGTTCCATTGGGAATAATTCTCCCTTTGTGTCCCCAGCACCTCCCCAGCCGCTGCCCCGGCCTCAGAACATGCATCTTTGCCATCTGCCCCAGCCAGTGATGGAGTAGAAGCTTCCTCTTCCGCCTGCCAGGGCCTGGCCAAGGACTTAAGCAGGTATTGCACAAAGCTGTCCCTCCACAGCTGCTGCCCCTGGAGAGAAGGGGCCTGGTGATCTCTGCCCCCTGGGCCTCGGGGTGAGCTGCATTTGGGATGGCACCAACAGGGCATTGACAGTTTGGGCCCGGAATGCCACGTCTGTGATCATTTGGGCTGTAGCTGATCTGAAGTTTACCCTGGGTAGCAGGCTCTCCGTGTGACAATGGGATGCCCTGTGCGAGCAAGTGTGTTATCAGGGTTCTCCAGAGAAACAGCACCAATAGGTTGCTTATATATATGTAGAGAGAAATTTATTTTAAGGAATTGGCTCATGTGAGTGTGGAGACTGGCAAACCCAAAATTTACAAGGCAGGCCGGCAGGCTGGAGACCAGGGAAGAGCTGATGTTGCAGCTTGGGTCCAAAGGCTGTCTGCTGTCAGAATTCCCTCATCCTTGAGGGACCTCAGTCTTTTTTTCTGAAGGCCTTCAACTGATTGGATGAGGCCCACCCTCATTATGGAGGGTAATCCACCTTACTCAAAGTCTACAGATTTAAATGCTAATGTCACCTAAAAAAATACCTTCTCAGCAACTTCTACACTGGTGTTTGACCAACTATCTGGATACAATGGCCTAGCCAAGTAGAAACGTAAAATTAACCATCATAACAAGTATTGGGAGCTCCTGTTTCTGTACCAACGGTTGGTTCGGGTTATAAACCATTCCACTTAGTTTTGAAAGTTCCCTAGAGCGTCCCTGGACAGTTTTTTGTTGTGGAGAGCTCAGTACACCTAGGTGTGTCGAGAAGTGAAAGCCTGGGGCCTTGGAGAGCTCCTGCTGGCCGGGGAGGCACAGGGGTGCCGAAAGCTGAGGAGAGGGTGAGGCTATAAGGGATGGTCCGAGTGGTAGATGATCACCTGCCCAGCCAGTGTCCAAAAGCAATAGAGGGACCAGGGAGAGGGAGAATGCCGCACGTGGATGTGGTTCTAGAACACGCAGTGACGAGGAGTGGGGGTGGAGCTGGAGCTGAGCCCCTCTCATCTGGACAGTGCTCTGTGGGGCGTTAGCTCTTCCTGCCCGTTAGCTCCTGAGATCTACCTGCAGCTCTGCTGGTCCTGAGTCCCAGAGATCGTGGGTCGTGCAGTGACTTGTCTGTATGACCCTGCCTGAGGCCAAGGGCGGGAATGTGCAGGAGGCCTGCCTTCTGGTGGCGAGATAGCAACAGCAGTCTGGGGACAGGAACATTTATGGTGTTTGGGATGACACCCTTGGTTTGCCTTGGACATAGTAGGTGCTTGATAAAACTGTGTCAAAGAAAGAAAGAAAAATACTCTTCTTAAATATTCTGCCCTTTAGTTTCTTACAGGTTAAACATACATCTACCATAGGACCCAGAAAACTCACTTTTAGGTATTTAGCCATGAGAAATGAAAATATATATCTACCTAGAAAACCTGAATGTTGGTCGCAGCTTGATTCATAATCACCCCCAAGTTGAAACAGCCCAGATGTCCATCAGCTGGGGAGTGAATAAACAAAGGTGGTGTATCCATCCTCTAGCATCCTGCTCAACAATAAAAAAGAACAAACTACTGATTGTACAACAAAATAGATGAATCTTAAATGCACTATGCTAAGTGAAAAGAGCCAGACTCAAAAGTTACGTTCTGGATGATTGCACTTACATGATGTTCTGGAAGAGACAAAAGACTATGAGGAGTGGAGAATGCACCAGTGGTTACATTGCGGGCTGGAATTTTGGATTGGGAATCGACCTCAAAAGGCCAGGAGGGATCTTTTTGGGGTGATAGAAATGTTCTATGTCTTGATGGGAGTGGTGGCGACATGAATGTATGTGTCAAAATTCATGAAACTATACACCTAAAAAGGGTGAATTTCACTGTATGTAAGTTATATCTCAATTAAAAAAAAAACCCACCGTGCTTATCCAAGGGCTAGAGAGAGAAGATTTTTGATGAAATGTACACATGCACACACAGACAAGTTCTGCCCTCCAGATCTTTCCCTGAGGCAGACAGCCTGGGTCAGAGAGCTCCCCTGGTGCGCCCTGGCACCAGCAGACATGAGTGGTACCCATCTGCTCAGGGCTCTCCTTTCCTGAGGTCACCGGGGCTCCAGGTTCTAAACTTCTCATATGGGGGCATCTGGGTCACCTCCCCCTTGGTGTTTGTTCCTTAGAGCCAGCTCTGTTTGGGTTGCTTCTTCTCTTTTTTTAATTGACGTATAATTGACATACAATATCCTGTTAGTTTCAGGTATACATCATGGTGATTCAATTTTTATATACCTTATGAAATGATCACCAGGATAGTCACCATATGACGCTGTTACTATGTTATTGCCTATATTCCCTATGCTGTACAATACATCCCCGTGACTTATTTTATAACTGGAAGTTTGTACCTCTTAATCCCCTTCACTTGTTTCACCTCCCAACCTCCCTCCCTCTGGTAACCACCGGTTTGTTTCCTGTATCTATAAGTCTGTTTCTGTTTTGGTTTGTTTGTTTTGTTTTTAGAGTCTACATGTACGTGAAATCATACAGTATTTGTCTTTGTCTGACTTATTTCACTTAGCATGATATACTCTAGGTCCATCCATGTTGTTGCAAATGTTAAGATTTCTTTCATTTTTTTATGGATGAATAGTATTCCATTGTGTGTGTATATATCTATCTATATGTATAGATATAGATATATCTCCCACGTCTTTATCCATTCATCTGTCAGGGGACACTTGTGTTGCTTCCATGTCTTGGCTGTCGTAGATCATGCTGCAGTGAATACAGCGTGCATACATCTTTTTGAATTGGTGTTTTCCTTTCCTTCGGATAAATACCCAGAAGTGGAATAGCTGGATCTTAGGGTAGTTCTGTTTTTAACTTTTCGAGGGGCCTCCATACTGTTTTCCATAGTGGCTGTACCAATTTACATTCCTACCAACAGTGCACAAGGGTTCCCTTTTCTCCACATCTTGGCCAACATTTGTTATTTCTTAGCTTTTTGATAATAGCCATTCTGACAGGTGTGAGGTGACATCTCATTGTGGTTTTGATTTGCGTTTCTGTTTCAAATCAAACCCAGAAGCATTTGGGTTGCTTCTGAATCTCATTAGTTTACGCATCTCAGCGTTCAGCAGCAGGCACTTGGGGTTGTTCTGGGGTGGCCCTGTGGATCTTACAGCCCACTGGAGAAGACAGGCACAGAGCGAGCAGTCACGGGTGGGACAGAAGAGGGGTGCAACGCGTGGGTGGATGGAACCCCAAACCTCACTCAGTCTAGGTGGCTGGGGATAGCTTCCCAGGGGAAGTGGCTTCGAACCTGAGAGCTGATGGCTCAGTGGGTTTAACCGCACATGGGCTGAGAAAAGAACAGATATTCCCAGAGGAAGGAAGAGCATGTGCAAAAAACTCTGAGGAAAGAGAAGGGAGCAAAACTGAAGGTGTCTCGTGGCTGGAGCCTGGAGAGGAGGGAAGAAGGATGGTGCGGCGGGCAGGGGCTGGGACCAGTGCCCAGGACAGGGCGCACGGGTCATGTTAAGGAGAGGGGGCTTTGTCTTTTTTCCTTGGTAGAATTTCTTTTTCTATTAATAGGTTTCTTTTAAGAACAGTTTTAGGTTTACCAAAAAATTGAGAGGTTAGTATAGAGAGTTCGCCCTTACCCAAGCATACAGTCATTAATGGTAATATGATGCATTTGTATAATTAATGAACCAATATTGACACATTGTTATTAACTAAAGTCCATAGTTTATGCAGACTCTTTTTTTTCCCCTAATGTCCTTTTTATGTCCAGGATCCCGTCCAGGATCCCACATTTCATTTAGTCGGCCTGTCACCTTAGGCTCCTCCCGGCTGTGGCAGTTTCTCAGACTTTCCTTATTTCTGACGACCTTCACGGTTCTGAGGAGTCCTGCTCAGGTATTCTGTAAAATGTCCCTCAACTGGGATTTGGCTGATGTTTTTCTCCAGATTAGACTAGAGTTACGGGTTTGGGGAGAAGATCACAGAGATAAAGTGCCATTTTCATCACTTCATGTCGAGGGTGATAGCTATCAGCATGGTTTATGAGGGCGATGTTGACCTTGATCGCTGGGCTGAGGTTGTGTTAGTCAGGTTTCTGCACTGTCAGGTTCCTCTTTTTCCCCTTTTCCACGCTATCCTCTTTGGCAGGAAGTCACTATGGTCACACCTAAAGCGGTGGGGAGTTATGTCCTTCTTCTAGGGGGAGCATCTACATAAATTATTTGGAATTCTTCAGCCCAGGAGGCTTGTCTCTTCCCCCCATTTATTAATTTACTCAGTCATTTATTTATATCGTTATGGACTCATGGATACCTATTTTATGCTTTGGGTTATAATCCAATACTACTTTATTTATTTTGTTGCTCAATTGTTCCGCCCTTGGCATTGGGACACTGGCTCCTAGGCGGTTATTTTAAGAGTGTCCAGAAACTCCGCCACAAGGCAGAGTTAGGATCAGATTTGCAGTTTTTTGGTGTTTTTTTTAAGATGGACACCTGAGCTAACAGCTGTTGCCAGTCTTTTTTTTTTTTCTGCTTTTCGTCCCCAAATCCCCCCAGCACATAGTTGTATATTTTAGTTGTGGGTCCTTCCAGTTGTGGCACGTGGCATGCAGCCTCAGCATGGCCTGATGAGTGGTGTCATGTCCGCGTCCAGGATCTGAACTGGCAAAACTCTGGGCCGCCAAAGTGGATCGCATGAACTTAACCACTTGGCCATGGGGCCGGCCCCAGATTTGTAGTTTTAAAGGATCTCTCCAGCTGCCTGGCAGGGCAGGGGTGGTTTTGAGACTAACCAGGGCCCCTAGGCCCTGAGGACCCCCAGGCCCGCTGTGCCAGGACATGACGAGCGAGGGTCAGCTGCGGTTCCATCGCCTTAAGTATGCCCTCCACTGCCCTTTCAGGGTGCTGCCAACTCGCTCTCCATGACTGCTTCTAAGCACGGGGCCGTGGCCTGGATCCAGGGATCCAAATAA